TATTTTTCAGAGAGGATAACTTTTCCGCGATGTAAATCCCGGCGAAAGCGAAATTGCGTTTATTCCCGAGGTTGCTGTTAGACGATTTTTTTCCTCATCAGCGACAAGAGCCGTGGACTGCATTGCCGTGGGAACTCAGTGCCCAATAAAACTCCGAAGCTCTGGACGAGATCCATCGCGATCCGAATAAATTACATTCATTTCGCTTCAGAGCAGAAACACAATCAATCAATCCAGAATAGTCAATATATTATATATTACATTCTGCGTTACATGACTATATTTTGTACGCATTCCGATGCAAAACATCAAATGGTTTAACTAAAAGGATTTTACTCAAGGAAAAAAACAAGAATGTTTAAAATGTTTACTAGATAAATATTTAAAATTTTTTTCAGAGATTTAACAGAGATTTAACTTTATGAAAAATGATTATGCATAATTGTGCAATCTCTCGCAACTTCTGTATTAACAATTGTTCATTAAAAGTGTACATTTGTTTTGTTTTCGAAATAATCTTTGCAATTTTGTTCCCAACTATTCCGAAAGTAGTAATGAGAACCACATTTTACAATAGGCCAAATCGAGAGTGCTTTTTTTTCATTTGGACTTTATAACTCAACGGTAAACGTATTCATAACTCAATTCCTGCAAAATATGCTCGTTTTTTTGGGAGAGATATTTTTGTATATTTTAACAAAAAGAAATACTTGTTCTCTAAAATAGTATGTGAATGGCACCATTGTTTGTCATTTCGTATCGAAAGTAATCACAGAAATGGTAAACACTCGGACGTCGCGAAACGTCGAAAACTGTGATTATTGTTCCGTTTTGGCGCGAGCTAGCAAATAATGTCGAAAATATCGCCGCTTTTTCTTATCCCGGTTTATATCCTTCGAGTGCCTCTTGGTAGGAAGCGAATACGAAGGCAATAAAACGTCAGACTTATATGTATCGTTTTGCCGATTGTGTGTCCACCGATCGCGCGGTGCATCGCGCGAGAAATATTCGTGTGGGCGTACGTGCGCGCGCTGTATAAACGATGCAAGAAACTCTACATGTGCTGCAGGGAAACAAATTTTTTTCTGACGGTTGGAACGTCGAGTGTCGCGCGAGATATATTCGCCGCAACAAGTTCGATATTTCCGTTCAGATGACTATACATGTATCGAAAGGATGTTCATTCCGCAGTAGATTACACATGATGTAATGTACGTCGCCCGTCCTGCAATCTTTTAGCCATTATTTCTCGTACGAATGTACAATTTTTCTATTTAATAACGACTCAAAAAAGGAACACAATTAGGCGATTAATTTACATAGAAGAGTAAGAATTTTTCGTGAATTTAATTCTAGGAATAACATTCCAGATAACAAAATCGCAGAAATTCAAGCCCTTCATACGAATTATGATATATTGATTTTCTATACAATGAAGGATAATATTATATAATATCGGCGATGCTTTTAAAATTATTGATTTTATATATATATATATATATATATATATATATATATATATATAAAGTATATGGATATTGTAAAAAGCTTTTCCCGTCAGTTACAGCAATCACATATGCAGGAAAAATACGGATCAGTGAATATCGATATATTAAAACTGAACAGTTATATTCTTATTCACAAACTGATATACGAATTGCATTAACATTTTTTACAAAACATAATATAAACGTCAACGTTAAAAGAGGAAGCAAAGTGTAACAAAAGGACGTGGAAAGATTATTGATTGATCGAGTTATTTTTTACTCGTCTCTTTGGTTTTGATATTCTAGCATTACATATACACCATTACATCATCCTTTCTGCCTGCCGTAGTTGTCTGCTTCCATTTTTCGATGCGCATTTTATTACTTGCTATTCAACTGTCCACTAACGTCCCTTTACTTTCCGCTTTCTGTCCCATCTGCTCTGATCTTTATTTCCATCATGCCGCTTTATTCGACATTCTTTCTTTCTTTCTTCTTAGCGAGACACTGCTGAATTCAGAAAAAATCGACTGTATTATACAGATATTAAAAACTAATATGCTCCAGAATATATTCCTTATGGTAATTAATCGAGTACGGGCAAAATTTAATTTGTAAAAGATTTCGTAGAATAGTTCCGTTTTTAAAAAGATGAGCGTGGTATTACAAAAAGACGTTTTCACTAAGGATATCGATCTGATTACATATAGGTATATAACTAGTCAAAGAGAAATTTGTGGTTAAAAGAATATCCACTGGAACACTTCCTACAGAGAGCAAACGCATTTGTTCTGCGCTAACGATCAAGAGATCTTTTCGGTTCTTATATTCCACTTTTATCGCTACAATCTCTACGTACTTTTATTACTCGCTTGTAGCGTGTATTTTATTTCTTCTCGGTTCAACTGCCCGCTCGATTTAACCGCGTTTTCTTATCATAGGACAAGACACGATTGGATTGAAAACGGAAATGAAAAATTTTAAAAAATAATATACTGAATACGCACGATTAAAGGAAGAAAAACAAGAGAAGGAACGATAAAATTTCATTTATTATATAAACGCACTTTGTATTGAAAATTGTTTCCATGAAGAGGAGTGGTTTATTAAAGCACTTTAAAGAAAAAAAAGAATATATATACATATATATACATCATATATATATATAGTGGGTGAGAGAGAAGGAAGAGGGGGGGGAGAGAGAGTGTGTGTGTGTGTGTGTGTGTGTGTGTGTGTGTGTGTGTGTACGAGCACGTTTGCCGGGGGCTAACGATCACCCCATTAAGCAACGAATTAAACCTCGTTTACTTTCGAGAGACTCGTTTACAACCAACTTGATTTTTCCACGCTTTGCGCTTTGAGCGCCAGCACGAATCGGCTGAAAGTTTATTTTGGTCGCAGCCATTTACCTCCGCGTGCTTATGCTCATGGCTTAATAATCTGTGCAAATTTAATGCCAAGCAGATTGAAGCAATGCAAAAAGACGCATTTAAAACGTTGACAGAAGTACCATAAAGAAATGTTAAATCAATATGTTGAATACGCTGTAAATTAAATAATTTTGCAATTTTTAGAAACCTCGTGATTATGCTCGTGTCTGAATTTTTCCAGGTGATCTAACGATTTATTAAGATTTCACATGGGGGCAATGAGAAAAATTATTTTACAGATATTTTTCGTGAAACACACACGGATTTCTCCGGCCGAGTGGTAGTCAGCTTCACATTCTGATTAATTTGACGTCGAAGTGATACGAATACACAAAATTTTATTAGTCCAATCGCGTTTGGCATTGTCTCCGCAGCTTTGTACTGGGTGTGCCATTAGAAACGGTACGCTATAAAGAAAGGAACCACCCAGATTGTTGTAATCCGCGTATAATGACGGCGATATCATCGTCGTAGCGTGGAATGATAATGGAACCTCGAAAACCCATTATCTCACTGCACAAGAAGCCATTACTCGCCGGTTTCCAGTTTCCCGTTGATCTTTTCCGCTGTTCCCTTGTGATAATCGGAGATAACTGGACGGGACGGCTTAATCATCCATCATGAAAAGACTCAGCATTTTTGAACCCTGGAAAGGACTTTACCGTACCTATATTGCTAACGACTTTCATAGATCTAAATTTCTCACTGCATTATAATCCATAATCCAAATAACATGAAATTTTTTTTTAATGCTTCACATTATAATTTTGCCGCTTTTATACCAGCGGCACACTGCAAATCCAAGTGTGTTATTTTAGCTGAAGCTCTGCTTACACAATTCTTGCCATTTTAAATCACGTCATTTAACACGACTAAATGTAACTTTTGATTTTATACGGATTATACGTGTTAAATGAAGAAATATGTAAAAAGAGCTTTAGTCAAATTTGTCATTTTCAGACATTTATGCGTGTATAAAAGTAACACATTTGGATTTGCAGTGTATACAAGAAGATACTTGTATTTGTCACGCGTCACCGCTTAGCATTTATGCGTTTACGCTGATTGCGCATATATCCACACTGTCTGTCTCGCAATTCCTCGCAGCTTCTCACGTAGCAATCGTCACGCTGCACTTTCGCCTGCCGTAAACTCCCAGGAAGCTTGCGAGCAATCCGGAAGTGCGATATCGCTCGCATTTACCGAAATTTGCTATTCGTGGCACTCTTGATCTAACTAACGCTGTCTTGTTGTTAGACGCGCGGCAACTTCGAAGTATAGGTACGGCACGCTCCGAAAATCGATTTCCGTCCGCGCGCGACAACGTAAATTAACTTGGCGACATAAAGACAGAGACGGCGGACAGGCGGGGTTTGTTCCTGCGGACTAGCAGAGGCAATGCTCAGCTTAACTCCGGGGGTCGGTCGATTGTCTAACGTTGGCCGGACGCGCGCGGCAACACTTGGAACTTACACGAGATAACCCGGCGAGTGTGCTCCGGGTTCGGTCATTCTGCACGTACAACAACCAACCCTTATGCTCGCACAATAACCACGAAGTGGCGCGCGAGAGAGGGCGAATGGTACGATCGTGTACTACATGTAGTGTAGCGTTAATGCGGCGTTACCCTCAGTTTACGGCAGTTTTCTTGGCCGTGCCGGCGGGCGTGGATTATCGACCGTGACACAGCATCATTATGTCGGCATTAACGGTACCGGGAAAACTCGTAATTCCGGAAGTTAATCGCTTTCTTCTCTCTCGCCGCGAGAACGGGGAGGTTGGACGGCGAAACGTTAATTGCATAAGGAAAGAAGAAAAACGCTTGATTAAACTAATAGCGAGCGATATAGCAACATTACTTTCGCGATTTTTCTCCGGACAATTAAAATCTGCGCTCCGAGAATCTGTTGCGAGAATATCGGGTTAAATTTATTGCTTTTTAATATACGGACGCCGGAGTTAATGCCAAGACTTGCCAAGGTACACTTGAATCAAATCCGCTGCCAAGTCGCCATTATTTTGGTTGCGCAAACAAATTTGCCCGAAAAACTATTTGTAAAAACGTAAAAACTTTCTGTTGCAGCGTGCCAGCAGGTCAAGCACGGCGTTCAAGCAGTTTTCGGACCCTCGGACCCGATCCTGGGACAGCACATTCACAGTATTTGCGACGCCCTCGATATTCCACATCTCGAGGCCAGGCTGGACCTGGAGACGGAAGCGAAAGAGTTCAGCATTAATCTCTATCCCGCACAAAGTCTGCTCAACGCCGCTTATCAGGACATTATGGAGTTCCTCAATTGGACCAAGGTGGTGATCATCTACGAAGACGATCGTGGTGAGCGACGATAAAAACGTGTTACTATTTTCCAGTAATGATAATATTAATATTGATTTATGAACTTAGAACGAGATAACAGGTTTACTAAACTGACACATCCGCTTTAACACACTCAAGTAAAACGGAAACTTAGCGTTTAATTTTGTGCTCCTTTAAATTTATTCTTACTATTTTGTTACTCTTCGTTAAAAATAGTGACTGTGTTAACTCAATAGTCATGACTTAATATCGTAACTATACCCTTATACAACACAAATACAGAACGTTGCGTGGGAAAAATTCAAGGCAAGACGGTTCAGTCGAATTTTTCAACGCTTATTGGCACGCAGAACATTTGTCAAAATGTTTAACGTGTTACTATTATCGTTTAACGCCCGCTAAAACTCCTCAGGACAGTTAACGTGCATGCGCTATTAGTAACGTATAGGATTGCGCTAATGGCGCTATGCGTTTTCGGCGCATAAATAAATGAAAATGACATAGGATTCTCATTTCTCTGACGCGAGGATGGAAGAGAAATAACGAATTTGCCAAGAACACATTTTTTATCACAAATAAATACGGAGAAAATAATACATATTCATAACTTGGTTGTCTGATACGAACAAATCCGCGACTACTTAGCTGATTAAATGGAAATTATATTGTTATCTCTTTCAAACCTCTTTGAACATTTCGATCGCTGATCGTTGCGTTTATTCTGTAAAAGTCAGAGATAAATTTAATAGAAGATATTCTCTGTTTAAACGGTGCAGAGAGTTTTTATACACAGCCTCCGCACTATTCTTTGCATTGAAAGTATTGCAGACGGGCATTACGCGTTGAACGAACGATCAAACGTTCAAGTCCAGTTTGAAATTTTCCTTGGCACAAAGCCGATTTCAAAGTTCTTTGAAATCCGAACTGAGCATGTATGGCCATTTTTCAACAAGAATCCGCGTATGCACGGACATGTCAAAGCGATATTTCTCTAGTGTGCTTTCGCATAGAATTATGTTTTACCTTGTTTGAGAAAGGAGTAAGAAGTTAGTAGCGATGGATGATTTGGTAGATCCAGACGGGGATGAAGTCGGATTGAAGCCGACGTTGAATCCGTCTTTCTCCGGAAAAGAACCAACCTCTCACTTCACGGCAAGCCAGTTCCCACAGTTTTAATTAATTAATTCGCATAATGGATCCATTTAAATTTAAATAGTTCGAAGACGTTGAAAGCACGTCCAATTTGAATGAGGCATTTATCCTTAAAGACGTACGCCGTACGGCAGATTAAGATACTCTTAGGTACAACTTTACTCTCTAGGGCTTATAAATTTATTTTAAAATTTTAAGTTAATTCAGTAGGCAATAAGAACCGAGCGTGATATTTAGAGAGATTTTATTTTAAAATCTCTCTTTCAGATTTGAGATGCTACCACGAATATTGAACAAGAGAATCTTCGAAGAGCATTAAATACCCTTATTGTTGACGTCTTAAAATAAATTGTATAATTAATATAATCTCTTGAAACTAAGACGAGTAATTCTTGGCACTCATACACCTATGTATACACCTCGTTCTCTTTTCTTTCTGCATTTTTTTTTTTTTTTAATTTTTAGACGTAAATACATTTGCGAGATCGATATTTTTATATGTTCCTATATTTCTATTCGCAATAAGAATATGCTAGCAAATAAGACGCATTAAATATTTAAAGCGGAACAATTGTGCGCTCGAATTGCATCTCACGTAATTTACCGGAAATAACGAGCGAGTGATGAGTGGTGAGAGGAAAGCAATTCTCTGGTTGAGGACGATTACGTTGAATTAGGAACAGCACCAGCAGCGCGAGAAGAATCGCATGCCATAAACGTACGTTTCGCGACGCCGGAATATTTCCGTGACTGATTATCGCGGCACGTGAGTCGTCACCGCGGTTCACTACTGTGATACGTGATCTTCTGCAAAATCGTCGCCAAAATCCACCGTCTGCAGACATTTGTCGTGTCGTAGAAGATATTTCACGTTCCGTTTCCGTAGGCAGTTTTTTGTAAATCGTATAAGTTGTTTCTAATTCACCGCGTAACAAATTGCTGCGATTATTAAGACGACATCCGGTCGTCAAAGAAGAAGAAATGCGAACAGAAATAGTGATCAATAAGAAATTATTGTTATTATTAACATAAAGATTTTTTATAACATTTAATAATATTTAATAACACTGAAATAACTGATAAAATAATTTGTAAGCATTTAAAATTGACTATAATAATTAATAGAAATTAAATAAAGTGCAACTCCGCGAAGGTCGTACTCTATTAATTTGATTTGAATTTGTATTGCGTGACTGCAAATCAATAGGAGCTATAGTGAATCACGAAATGATATTGATATAAAATGAAGAGAGAGAGAGAGAGAGAGAGAGAGAGAGAGAGAGAGAGAGAAATGTATCAATTTATCCGCGATAAATTCAATAACATACAACACAATTATTAAGCCTTTAGAGGAAAATTAGTGCGCTATAATATGATCCACCCGTATTGAATAACGTAAATAGACATGTGAAACCGATAACAAAATCAATTGGATGCATTACGCATAGCTCGAATTCCCGTAACGGCATTCAATTACAGAACGATCAAAAGCGACTGTTACACGCAGTTAAATGAAACATGTTATGCGCGTGGCAAAGTGTAATGGAACGTTACTATATCGATAGATAAATTAACGGCTCTTCACCAATGGGGCGGTAACATCTTAAGTTTTTCTATCCAACTTTGCCGCCCCGTTTCGATAATTTTATTTCCACGTCTCTCTATGGGATTTTCGCGGAATTTAACCACCTTTGATGAAAACATCTCCCAAACTTAACCGCCTTCCACAACGAGCTTAGCTATTTGTGAGGCGAAGTACACGTACAAGCCGATTAGAACGCTCCTGACCCCCTGCCAGTTTCCCGCTATCTCGTTCAACCCCCTCCCTCGCGCGCATCCCGCCTCTTGCCGGAGTCGACGCTGAATTCCTCGAGAGATTTACCGGGACTCCGGGATCTCCGTGTTTCCTACACTTTCAATTCCGGCGCGCTATGTACCCGCGAGGTGTAAGGGATTCGGGTCGGCGAAATCGTACACGTCTCGAGCATGTTTGTCGTTACGATCCCGCGATTCGTTCAGCGGAATTTCGTCTTACCTTACGGGATCGAACATCGTCGCGGCGATGCGACGGTGACATGTCGTTCGAGTGGATCAGTGTCGACTTTACGGCTTTGCCCGAAAAGCTCTCAAGTCAACCAGTCTCCATTATGTCATTGCAAAATCGCACGCGGATTATCCGTTACATATGTGGCCCGTATGTTACATTTGATATTATGTAAATATAAGAAAATTAACAGATCGAAAATTTGGAAAATTATTCAACTCTTAATTCCGATTACTCGGTCGTCTTTAATGGCAGAGGATGTTGGGCAGTTTGCGAAATTGACTCATTCAATCGGCGAGCAAGTGCCGCGCCGCGAGTTCTACGGCTATCTTGGGAGTCAGACAGCGTGGCATTAGATCTCTTTCAACTTTCAAGTGGTTTAGAGAGCCGCTAGTATCGATTCGCGATTACTTTACTCGTTTTCCGTCTCGTGGAGTTCTCGCGACGACGCGGAAACTTCCCCGGAGTAACAACCGCTATCCACTCTGCGCATTTCCTGAATCGTTGCATTCTATCTAATCAAGCGATGAATGCATTCCTTGTAATCTAGCACATTCACGAATTCCAAGTACGGCAATTGTACACATAATTAGATAAGAAAATTATGAAACACATTTAATTTAATTTAATTTAATTTTCTTTTTCATAGTATCACGGAAGCTTTTAATCCCTCCCCCCCTTTCTCTCTCTCTCTCTTTCTCTTCCTTCTCTTTCTATACCGACGGATTATTGGTACCTAAAGAATTTCGTAATCGTTATTCCCCGTATGCCTTTAGACTGCGGTGGAATGTCAATTCAGATCTTTCTCAAAAAGTTCAAACATCTTCGCCTCGTCTGCAATTTCAAACGAAAATGGAATTCCAAATAGAATACGTACAGAGAATACCGTAATATTTCGATCTATATATAAGAGAGTTTCCGACCGTTCTTACAGGCATCTTGTTTCGGGACGTAAATGAGAAAATAACAATGTTATTTTAATGTTTAACGTTTAATCGCTCTATTTGACACGTGTCTAAAGTGTCAAGTGACACTCTTTGTGTCTATCGACACGAACATTATCGTTCATCCGACGGGGCACATTTATCTTCGCGAATCTAATTGAGTTTTGCTCCCGCTCGCGCATGAGAGAGATATCGCGCATTAACGCAGAACGAGCAAAATCAAGTCACCACATTAGAAACCTACCTCCGTACGATAAACGCGGCCCGCATAACTCACTGGCAAATATAGCGAATAGACTTTACAATGAAGTCCTGTGTCCGTGGCGCGGTGTAATATCAACGCCAAGTTCCTAAGCATATACAGATATGCATAATGTTGATAGCGAACTAGAGAAATCGTGACTGCGCGAACTGGGCTGTCTAGTTTTAGGCCTGACGTACGACTTACCAGCCCCGCTCGCACCAAGACACTTGGAGCTGTCACTCTGACGTGAATCTATTCTTGAGCTTCAGCTAATAAATACAATGAGAAGTATTATCCTTATATCGTGCCATTCTTACGCGTTACATTATTTAAGTGATCAGATAGCCACATTAAGCGCTACATTAAATTGCGCAACATAAATAAGCAGCAATAAAGACATTAAGTTTACGTTGAGAAAGAGTTTTCCGAATTGAAATAATATTGTGCCAAAAGTAATACGACGTAATATCCCGCGAATAATATGACGAGATATTAAGCGAAAATTCTTCCACGCGCGCGCCCGTCTTTATATGAACTGAGTTACGTGCTCCAGCTCGTCAGACATTATTCAGCGAAAAGTCAGCAGCGAGATTCCGACGTCGTAATTACATCCAGAGTTCATCGAAGTTACGCG